TTCATATATTTTGAATTTAGATATGCTACATATTTAATGTTTCTTATAATGTTTTTATAAATTCAATAATTTTTGTTTAGAATTGTGTTTTGTTAATATTTTGTAATATAGTTTTGTATTTTTAAATTTTTATTGATATTAGATATGGCATCACCCGCTGAAGTAATAACTTCGGAAGAAGTTACATCTCAAAATCCAACCCAACTCCAGAGCAGTAGGGGAAAAACTGATATAGCTTGGGGTCATTGTAAACAAATTGAAGAGAAAGGAAAACTTGTTAATTTGTGTATCTACTGTGATAAAATTATTAGAGGAGGGGGGATTAATAGGTTCAAATTCCATTTGGCTGGAATAAAAGGTCAAGTTGAAACATGTAAAAAGGTGCCTCCAGATGTTCAATATCAAATGAAACAAAATCTTGATGAAGGTGCAAATAAGAGAAGAAAGACTCAAGCACAAAATTTTGATGTTGGTCTTACTACTCAAGAGGGTGGTGTAGTAGAAATGGATGTAGAATAATCAAGATCAAATTCGGTGATTGTGTCTCAAAAGAGAAAGAATACTAGTCGTATTGGTAATTATTTTATGCCTAGAACAACTCCTGGAGCTCAACCTTCTTTAAAAAGTGTATTACAAAGTAAGGAATTAGTGGAGAAGTGTGATCTAGCTATTGCAAGATGGTTCATTGATTCTTCTGTGCCATTCAATGCAGCTAATTCTGCGTATTTTCAATCTATGGATGATGCACTTTGCAGCATGAGTCTGGGGTATAAAGTTCCAACTATGCATAGTCTTCGTGGCTATTTGTCAAATAAATGGGTTGAAGATTTGAACAAATTGATAGAGGAGTATCGTGAGATTTGGAAGAAAACTAGTTGTACTCTAATGGCCGATGGATGGACTGATCGAAAAAGAAGAACTCTTAAAAACTTTATAGTTTATTGTCCCAAAGGTACTATTTTTCTAAAATTCGTTGATGCTTCTCATGCTTCAAAAACTGCAGATATGTTGTATAAGCTTTTTAGAGAGGTGGTTTTATTTGTTGGGCCTGAAAATGTAGTTCACATAGTGACATATAATGCTGCAAATTATGTTGCTGCTGGAAGGTTATTAGAAAATGAGTTTCCTACTTTATTTTGGTCTCCTTGTGCGGCACATTGCATTAACTTGATGTTGCAAGACATGGGAAAATTAGAGGAAATAAGTGAGACAGTGTCACATGCTTCTAATGTTACCAAATATATTTATAACAATTGTTATGCATTGTATTTAATGAGAAAGCAAACAGGTGGAAGAGAAATCTTTCGTCCTGCTCCAACTCGGTTTGACACTAATTTCATTGCTTTGCAAAGTATTTTGTCTCACAAAAACTCACTAAGAGCCATGGTAACATCTAAATAATGGACAAGCTCAGCATATGCCAAAGAAGCAAAGGCAAAATAGTTTGTGGATCAAGTTTTAGATTCTGGATTTTGGAGTAAATGTGCTAATGTAGTTAAACTCACTGAACCACTTATGCGTGTGTTACGTATTGTTGATAGTGAAGATAAACCTGCTATGGGCCTTCTATACAAATCTATAGTCAAAGCTAGAGAGGAGATGGTGATGAGGTTTCAAAGAAATAAGAAGAAAGTGGATCCTTACTTGAAAATCTTAGATAAACATTGGGATTCACAGCTCCGCAAAAATCTTCATGCTGTCGGTTATTGGTTGAATCCGGCTTGTAGATATAATGATGTAGAATTTTAAAAACATGCATCCACAACATCAGGACTTTTAGATGTCATTGAAAAGCATGCTAATGGAAATTCTGAACTTCGATTGAAGTTAACAGATGAGATGAGAATATTCAAAGACGGTGAATTAGATTTTGGAAGGAAATCAGCCGTGGATGAACGGTGTATTGTGAGGGCAGGTAATTTCATAACTTCTAACTCTTGATATATATTTTATTTTATATTTCAATATGTTTATAAATTTATTTAATCACATGGTATAAACAGATCAATGGTGGGAAACTTATGGCACTTGTACATCAACTTTTCAAAGGTTAGCTATTCGTATTTTAAGCCAAACTTGTAGTGCTTCGGGTTGTGAACGCAATTGGAGTATATTTGAGCATATTCATTCCAAAAAAAGAAATAGATTGGAGCACCAAAAGCTTAATGATTTAGTGTTTGTTCGTTACAACTTGAGACTTCAAAATAGGTATTATTATGGTTATTTTTCTCTGATCATTATATTTTTATATTTAAATACATATACTTAGATTTAATTCATGTGTGCTTAGGAAAATAAGAAATGGGAGTTATGATCCTATCAATATTGAAACAATTGCCGACCATTCTAGTTGAGTATTAGAGGATTCACCACCTCTCTTAACCAATGAAGAGTTTGAAACATTGCGGAATGACCTTGCAAATATGACCATCCAACCAATTTCAAGTGATATTGGTATGTTCTAATATGAGCATAATATAGTTTGTGGTTGTGAATCAATTTAATGTCTCATATTTACCATCTCTAAAAAAAATTTGTTAATTATTTTTTAAAATATTGTTATAGATCAAATAGATTTAGATGAGGATGAAGATGGAGATATGGGTAATGCACAAGATACTATTGTTGATACTGTGAATCAAGAAAAAAGCAACACCAGAGAAGATGAAGTTGGTGGAGAAGACAATGAAGTTGAAGATGGATATGAATATCAAGATTATGACAATTTGACTTCATGGACATAAAAAATTATGGATCGTTGAGTATGAATTTTTGTGACTTATTATAATACTATAACTTATGAATTGTTAAGTTTCAATCAGTTCTTTGAATTTATAATTTGCTACATTAAGTTTCTATCACTTATTTTGATTGTTACTAATACTTTTGTTTATTCTAAATTATTTGAATTTATAATTTTCTATATTATTATAGTTACAAATTTCAGGTAATGAATATATTTTTTATAGAAACCGGGTCAAAAGCCATGCGGTCTGACCAGTGATCCACTGGTCCGACCAGTAACCCAGTGACCCAGTAACTTTACAGAGTCGATCACCGGTCTGAGTTTTAAAACATTGCACCAAAAATATATTTAAATTATTTAGTTTATTTTTAGTTAACTTCTTACAATGAAAAAGACCAAAAACATTTTCCTATTTATTTTCTTTTCTTTAACGTAATCTTAATTTTTCTTTAGTTTAATTAAATTTCCTTTTAGTTAAATTGACCAAAATCTTTCTTTAACAAATTCATTTTCTTTTCATTCATGTCTTGTACATTATATACATTTCAATTGTTGTACATTATTCAAGTTCAATATGGTTGTAATAGATAATTAGATTTAATTTCTTGTAATCCCTATTTGTAAATTTGTACACCCCATCCTCAAGTGATGTAATAGCGTAGGATATTTACTTTCCGAAATTTATCGCTTCCATATAAATGCTAGTAATTAGGGTTTGTATGGAAAGATAAAATCAATGCCTAGAAAACTCTAATTCAAGATAAAACAAACATGAAATACAAATACTTTCACACTTTACACCTCTAGGGTTAACTCCACTTGTTACTTTGAGAAAATAGTCAGGATATGCATGTGAGACATCTTAGTGAAAATAATAAAAAATACAAGATCATAGTCCCTCGATGACGCTTCGAATGTTGCCTTACAAATGATCTTAGTCCCTTAAGAGAAATGCTAAGATATCTCACAATATTGTTATTCATGACTATACGATGACCCACACCCGTCCCTTTACAACCAAAGATAAGGCTTCTTACCAATCAATGGTAAGATGGAAATGTCAAAGGAAGAAGGAAATGAACAAAAGACTTTTGAGTAGGTAGAGCGTTCTTAGTTTCTTGCTCACAATCCATCTCCAAAAACAAACATCTATTCAAACACACCAAACACTTTCAAAACATGAAATATTTTTAAAAAGTCCAACAATTTGTATGCATTCTTATAGAGATGAGAATCGTTACAAAGTTTGCCTAAACGAAGGCGCTTTTCAAAAATACTTTCAAAACCCACCACAAACACATTTCAAACAAAGCAATTTTAAAAGTGATCTAGCAAGCAACTAAGAGACCATAGATAAATATGGATGAAAAGGGTGCAAACACATTCCCTTTTCATAACCTACCCCCCGAACTCAAGAAAATATCTCAAAGGTCTTTCCTGTTCTTTTCACCTTTTCCTTATTGGATAAAAGAAAAGTCGGTGGCGACTCTTGCTATCCGCAACAATTGCGATCAAACACAAAATATCCAAGTCGGTTCTTTCACCGTATTACATTAGGATTTATCGATTTTGAGTCTAAACTTGATTTTTACAATGAAATTTGTTGTACTAGTGACCTCAAGCATAAGAGAGGGAAGGGGAGAGGGTGAGTTGTGGTATTCAAAATTTGTGATTAATATATTAATAAAATGCCACTACTATGCCTTCAACTTGTGGGGGGATATTGAACCATGAAGATTATACAAACATAGAACATGTTGATAATCAACTTATACATCACTAACTAACTTGAAAAATCTGTTAGAATGATGTTAGTTAGTTGTTAAGAGTTAGTTACACACACTTGAAATTCTACTATAGTGTGCTAGGGTATAGTTACTTACAGTGCAAGTCACCTTTTATGTATAAAAGAACGTAGCTTGTAACTATTATTATTCAATGAGAATTCACCATTATCATGTTCATTTTGATCTCTTAATACTACACTTTATAAACTATCATGAAAAGGTTATAAAATAAACTCAAATCAATTTATCAATGTAACATAAGATGTTTATAATTATTTCAATTTGTATAAAGAATCTCATAAGTATTAATATAAATAGATAAACTTTAGAACATTCAAATAGACTTAAAATAACATCCATATTATCTCATTTTATTACTAATTATACAAATTATTAGATGCAAGACCATATTTAGAATTTAAAATATTCATAATTTAATTTAAACAATTGAAACTATCATACCAAAATCACTTATTTGTCACACACACAATACAATTAAGATTATTTTTCTTTGAATATGAAGAACAAGAGTTAGGACCTTCTAAACGAATATAGTCATACATTATTCCTTGAAAGCGTGCCAAAGGACCAAAAGCCATAGTCTGTGTTAGGAAAATAGTATTATCTCCTTTGGATAACAAAAGACTTGGCACATCAATATTATATAGCCAATAAAGTCCATGAATGCCATGTCTTCCTATTGCATAATCCTTTCCAATCAACCCAGTAGTAAATATTGAAGGATCTTGTTTAACATCGTTCACTCGAATCTGTAAATTTAAAATAAAAAATAATGGGATGAGCCATGTTAGCTTAAAGTATAAATATTTAATAAATTCATAATTATATTTATAAAAATTAATTAACATTTTTTAATAAATATTTTTACTTGTAACTCAGAGACATTTGCACTTGCAAGAGCCAATCGCAATTTGTAGATTCCATTTACTTCCACATCATCTAGGTTAAACTTAATTTGCCATGTAGTTCCTTGATAACTACCATTATTTTTCTTCCTGTATTCCATACTTATATTAGAATAATGAATATGTCATTACAAATATCGATTTTTTTATCATTAATTTGGTTGTTAAATATCAAATTTCAAGTAGTGAATATTCGACATTCAGTGAATCTAAACCTTACCAAGTTCAATATTATTGGATATTTAATCGATCCAAATTTTACTAAGTAAGTGACTAGGTAGTTCTTAAGAGATATGTTATTTTATTAGATTTCTTATTTTCAAGTGTACCTTGTGACCTGTGCATAAAACCAATCTTTTGTGTAGTTACTAACACCAACAGTATAAATTAAATCTTCATTTGGATATAGCTCTGCATATCTTTCCCACAAGCCATATTGCCTGAACCTGTGATTAATCAAACATATCATGATAGTTGTTGGTTTGTGTGAGTTCAAAGGAAAAAAATATTAAACTTTTGAGATTAAGTTTATATCTTCATTGAAAAGGGTATATATAACTTCTTTGAAAATAATTATTATACGTGCGTCCGTTCACACTTCAAAACATATATATTGATTGATATGTAAAAAAATTTACATCGATAATATATACCAATTAAATCAAGTTAAAAACATCACGTATAGAATATGTTCATAAAATTATTGTTAATTTATAGTCTAAAATTGTCACAATAATATTTTTAAATCCTAACCACGATTTTTTTATGATTTAAAAAATAATTTGTAAGAAATAGTAACTAACTTGTCTGGATGATCTATAAAAAGCTTGTTTATGAATTTTGGATTAGGATATGGAATATAAAACTCAGCCGCGGAGCGATCAGGGATTCCAATCTCCCATAATGTTGGACCATTTCTTGGAGGCTCGTAAATAATGTCACCAAAGTTTATTTTACAACCTGCATGTTGCATATATTATTCAATAACACACGTACATTAGTGTATTGTTAGGTAAGAATATATAATAGTAATAATATTAACCTGGAGTTATTTTGATCATAATATTTTTCTTATATTCTCCAATGAAACCTGGAACCCATGCATATAGATTGTAATCTCCACTTCGTATATTTTCTATTGAAAAGTATCCATTATCGTTTGCTCTACACCAAAATTGGTATCCCTAGAATAAATATATTGTGAGTAAAATTTTTTAGTTAATCACCATTTGTTGCATCCTTAAATTTATATACATTTTTCCACAAACCTTGCATTCTCTTTGCCAAGATCCAACATCCCCCGGTGGTGCCAAACCTATGTATGCACCTTGTGCTATTATGTCCTTATCATTTACAAACCTAAAAATTGTCATTTTGAAAATTTAAATTTATGCTCCATATTGGATGGAAAATGAATGTTATAAAACAAATAAATGATATGATTCATATATTTAATGTCTTAAAATTTTAGGTTAAGATACAATATTACAATATAGTTGTTTTTACCCAATGTGATGAACTCTAGTCTATCTCATGACTTAACTATGATATCAGGATTGATGGTATCTAAAGGAACCAACTAAGTATATTAAAAGTCTTCTTCACAATGGTAGTCAAGAGATGTGTACAAATAGATGAGAAAACTTTCGCTTGAGGTGGAACATATCCAACTGAATGGATACCGAAACATGAGAATGATGTTTTCTGGTGTATATGATGTGTTAGAAGTCTCACATTGTATGAAATGGATATCAAAAAACATATAAAGGAAATAATCCATATATTTATATCTAATATCTTAAAATTTTGAGTTAAGAAATGGTGTTAAATCTGTGTATGGTTGTATTTGGCCGAATGTGATGATTCCTTGATCTCTCTCATGATCCAACAATCTTCATAAGTATATAGCGCTACTAAGTTCTACTAATTAAAACCGTAAAATTATAATAACCAAATAAGTTTAACATGAATTTCAATAGTTTCATTTTTACCTTTCTAATGTATATATATTTAAATCTTTAGATTAACCGAGGATATATTTTAGTCTTACCTATCACGAACTAGTAATGTGCCATTAATAGTTCCTCGTTCGCTAGACTTTTGAAAATCAATTGAAGCTGGAAAATCATAAGGCCAACTTTGCACTTCCTTGTTCATCTTGAAGTCATTTTAAGTGGTCTTAATTAGTACTTAAATAAATGATAATAATAATTTGTTACATTTACAATTCTTAAATAAAACTAAAATATTTCAATTGATTTTGATTTCGAACCTGATACTTGGCATCCTCCCATAGCTCTAGTGAATCCTCATGATGATCTAAAAAGGTATTAAGATAGACAAAAGTTGGCCCAAAAACTTTTTTCCATGGCTCATTGGGCTGGAGTTTAAGAACTATATCCTCTCCTGCATAATGAGCACTAAGAAACATCTGTAGACAAAACAAAAAAATGTTGCAAGCTCTTTGTTTTTCGGTTACATATACTTTAAAAACATGTGATTGTTTTAGCATTATTAAAATTAGACATCCATCAACCACATAAATAAATCATTAAAATTGCAGATCACTAAACTATTTGATTCAAAATAATAATGAGTAAATATCATGAATAAGATTGATGTATTTATAAAGAAAAATACTTACGGCAAGACTGATAGGGCCGACATGAGAGGTGAGGTTTTGTTTGATAAGGCCACCTGATTGAAACTCATTACTGGGCATGATTACCCAAAACCCTATTGCTTGATTTGTTTCGGATTTTGAACTTATCCATCCATGGACCTTAAGGTCTTTATTTTCACTTGAGTATTGGTACTTGTCATCTACCTTCAATATATTACGTCAATAAAAAATTTTAATAACTACAAAAATAATATTAATGAAACCCCTTTTATTTAAAAAAAAGAAGAAAAAATATTTTAATTCTTTATGAAAGAACAATCATATACTTTTTATGACCGTTCTTGCACCAAGAACATCTTCAAAACCTTTGCTCATCATATTAAAATCAAGCTTGATGAAACCAATTTTCTTTTGTTGAAGCAGAAAGTTGGTGGAATCATTCATATACATAAACTTCATCGTCATATTATGAATCCATCAATTTCAATTTTTTATCTTACAGTTACAGATCGAGCCATTGAAACTATGAATCCAACATACACAATGTGGAATCAAGAGGATTCACTATTATTCATGTGGCTTTTAACATTTCTTTATGATTTGGTACTTCCTCGTGTAGATAAACGTGTTCTTGCGCATGAGGCATATACTATTTTCAATAAATCCAATAGAACTCAAATCAATGTCGAATCATGATAATGACACACATTGAATTGGAATCCATTACCAAAGCGGAAAAGTCAATTGTTCAATTTCTAAGTTGGATTCAACAAATTATTGACATTCATGAATCCACTAGAGATCCAATATTTCATTGTGCTTAAATTGAATTCGCTCTTATGAACTTCCCTAGGAATCTAAAGCTCTAAATGTTATCAATTAGTATCATGACGAGATATGTCTTATCCTAATTCTAGAGACGACGATGCTCTGACATGAGACCAAGCTTGAATCTCTCAAAGTGGCCACACTTTTAGCACCTCTATCTCTGAATCTTACTTATGGGTTGTCTTGATCAATGGATCCCAAAGAAATGCCTCAACCTCAAAATCTTAAACATCAATTTCATTAAGATCTTTAAAAAATCTCAATGGATATTGTGGTGGTTATTAAGATCATAATAACAACTATAGAGACCGTGAAGGTTGTAATGGAAGTAGGTATAATGTTAAATGTCAAATATGCTATAAAATTGGTCACAATTAAAGCATTTATTATCATTGTAATTCAAATCATCCCCTCAATCCAATCATTGGCTCAATCCTACCATTCACCCATCTTAACCAAGTCATCACAACCATTGGTCAAATCTTGCATATCATCCCAATCCTCACAATAAATCGTCAAATCTGGCTAATTCCATTAACTGGTGTGGTCATCGGCCTAATTTTCTATTTCATCCTTCTTTACTACCTTCACCAGGATTTCAATTGCACCAATCTTAAGTCTATCTAACTGGAATTGAGAGTCACACTTCAAAAGCTCATAATTCACAATGGTACCCTGACATATGAGCAAATCATCATGTCCCTCACATTTTTAAAATGTTAATGGAGAACATCTCAATATATGGTTCATATCATGTGTTGCTTGAAAATGGACAAGGTTTTCCTATAAACACTATTGGATCCATAATTTTTCACTCATCATACAATCCACACACTACATCAACACTACATAACTTGCTTCTTGTTCCTAATATCACAAAGAACTTGATCTACATGAGGAAATTTTCCAAGGGTGATCAACTTTACTTTGAACTTCAACTTTACAAGGATCCCTTAAAAAAGGATCGACTATATTCATTTGGTCAATTGTAGGTTGCAAAATTGGGTTTTTCATCTCCAAATCACCTTATCTACACATACTCATGGGCATTACAGCTATAGATTTGAACTAAACTTCAAATAACTTTGAACTTCGTACTACTTATTTCTTGGGCAAAACTCAAAGGTTGTCTTTATTTACTTCAATTGTGTCATATAATGTTCTATTTAATTTGTTATTTGATGATGTTAGGGAGCCAACACCCGTGATTTATTTATCTAGATATTATTATTCATTTACTCTTGTTAATTCATTTACCAAATATACTTGGACATTTTTAATTAAGCTAAATTCAAAAGTTCACAATAGTCTCGCACACTTAATCACTCTTAATATTGCTACTCAATTTAATATCAACTTTAAAAAAATTCAAACCGGTGGAGGTGGGGAATTCCAAAATATACTCTTTTCTTCCATCACCAAGGTATATTACACAAATTAATATACCCTCACACATATCTTCATAATAAATTTAGGGAAACTTCGCACAAACATGTGATGAAAAATGGTCTTATCCTTTTGGCTCAAGTTAATCTCCTCCTTCAAGTTTCAAGACCATTCATTTCATGTTGCAACCTATCTCATAAATTGAATGCCTAATGTATCACTAGCCACAACATATCTTGATGATGCCTTACACAAATATATCCCCAATTACAATTTTCTTAAAGCTTTTAGTTATGTCTGCTACCCACATTTATAACTCTACAATCCTCACAAGTTTTATCACTCAAAAGAGTGTATATTCTTTGGATACTCATCCAACCACAAGGGATATAAGTGTCTAGAAAATGATGAAATAATATACATCTCCAAAGATGTAATGTTCTATTAGTTAACGTTTTCCCACTTCAATGTGTTTCCTACCTCATATCTCACAACCAAGTCATCCACTATGTCAACTCACTTTTCTTCATCATTCTTCAATATATTCATAAAAATTATCCTAATAACACTACTACAAATAATATTTTTTATTATAAAGCTTTCACCCTAGACAACATATAATTGAGGTGTAAACCATAGACGCGCCACATTTTATTTTATTTTTTAAAAATACTATCTATTCTCTCGATTGAGCTAAAAACCCAGATAAAAGTTTGATCAATCTTCTCTTCGAATCCCAACAACTTCATTTTAGCATATTTAACTATTTTAACTATTTTAATTTTTTATGATTATTACCTCAATTATTTTGCAAACCGAGGGGAAACATAGGTTTTTATAAACCCCTCTTCGAATCTTAACAATTTTATTTTAGCAAATTTTAATATTTTTAATATTTTTTAAGACCTATTACCTCTGTTATTTTGAAAACCGAGTGAAAAAAATAACATTTTTTATTTTTTAGTGCCTTTTAATTAAGTAATGAATTTTTATCGTCTATTTAATGGTCAATATATTGACAAATTAACAATCCACATAAAAAATTAGTGATTTACCTGAAAAATACTTGAACCTTTACATCACTCTCTGCTAACAAGAGTTCTATTAGGTGAAAATTGATATTTAGAGCTAAAAAAATCTTCATGGTTTAGTTCTAAAGTATAACGCATGACTAATTGGAAAGGTTTTCATTAATAAAAACGGCTTGATGTTCAAAAAACATTCACTCCAATCATAAAAACCGTTACTGTGAAGGAAACTTTGAATAATTCATTCATAAATGAGTTGTTTGAAGAGGAAATGTACACGGAACAACCACCTAAATTTATCAACTGAGAAACATATTTTAAAGTATTTTTAGTTTAACATGTATATTTTATTTAATCACCTATTATTTATTTTTTCAAAAAAATAAAAAATAAAAAATAAAATACCTCTCCTTTAAACTCTGGCTCCACAGGATTAACAAGCAAAACAGCTTCTGGAGGAACAAGTTCTTGTCCTCTTTCAGGTAATCGATCATCAGGTAGAGGCATAAACCTTTGTCTATCATTCCCCACAGCCATGTAATGAAACCTACACGTTTAACATCATTAACAATAATTAATATCCTCATAAAGTTAATTAATTAAGGCAATTAATTATTAGCTCTTACTTGTCTTTACGAAGCTTGTAAACAATTCTTATTTGAGGTATGTTGAAAGCTGGCCACTCTTTTAAGTGTTCAAATATAGCATAAGAGTAGAATCCTGATGAATTTCGTAGCATCACATACCTACATAATCATTAATTAATTAATTAATTAATTAATTAATTAATTAATTAATTGTTGAAATATAATTATTTAGTAAAGTACCTTTTGTCTATATTTAGAGGGGATTGCTTCCCCTTTAGAGATGGATCCCATATCCTAGTAAATGAGATTTCAACTTGTTCATCTGTTTCTATTATAACATTATAACTTGTTCCTACAACCCTGCATTATTTGCATGTTTGATAGTGCAAACCACCATTAATAATAATAATAATACTAAACAAGATGCAAATTAAAGTGAAAGATATTTATATACTTCTCAAATGTCCCAAGTGTTCCTGTAGTTCCTGCTTCACTCCAAACAACATCCCAATACCTATTAATCCATTGAGAACAACTATATATTATAATTGCATAATTAATACAAAAATTAATTAATCTTAGTTTATACATAAATATGTACCCTCTATTATTCATTTCATTAAGATCTTCAAGCATATTATCAATGCCATTATATTGTATTCTAGTTACAAATCCACCAGGATTTGAGAAAAACACTTTCACTATACCATTGTTCATAACCACCTGAAATTCAAATATCAAAATTTCAATATGCTACAAATTTATAATATTAACCCCAAATTCTACAAACTTACTTGATTTTTTTCTATATACAACTGCACTGCTTGTGAGGACATGTTTGTAATTTAAGACAAACTCACACATAAAACCAGAGGAAAAGAGAGGAAGAGAATAAGAGATTTTAAGTTTAGTTCATCATTGTTTCATTCATTCAATTTATCTAATGTTAGATGGAACATGTGTATAAAATAAGTTTATTTTTTTAAAGCATAAAATAAGTTAACTAATTCGGTTTTCATGGTCATTTCTTTACTCAATCGCCAATGTAGTCGTGTACGTTTAGGATTGTGGGGACAAACTTAAAAGTTCATAATCACTTTATTTATAAAAATAAAAAGAATCATGTCACAAGACATTTGTTTTTTTTTTTTTTTTTAAATAAAAATTGAAGGTTGTATTTTTAATTCAGTTTCAATCTACATACTGAATTATTCCCTTCATTCTTATTTATAAGAAAATTTTAACTTTTTAGATTCATTGAATAAATGATGTATTTGATCCATATATAAGTTAGATACATCAATTATTTAATGAATCTAAAAAGTCAAAAAAAAAATTATAAATAGAAATGGAAGGAATAATTTATTTGATTTTGTAGTTCAGAAAAATGATTTATTGATTAAATTTTGTTTCCACCAAAAAATAGTATCAAAATAATTCGTGTTTAACGAAAATTCATTTTCTACTAAAGTCTAAATACTTAATTTTAATTTGAAAGTTGTTTTAACTTGATGCTAAAGCGAGTAAATATTTGTAGGTGGAGAATTATAAATAAATAAATAAACATTGAAATGTTTATTTTGACAATTTGAAGAAAGGAAAACCAGAAATTGTTATGTAATGCTTCGAAATTGAATGAATTCAGACTGGAATCGTGTACGGAACACTTTTTTTATAGTATTTCAAGCACTCGATTTGTTTTAGAATTTTGATGCATGAATACCTAGGGTAATTCAGCCTTCTCGAGTTTGCACAAGACAGATGAAAACTCGAATGTAGCAAAGAATGTTGGAATTGTTTCTAGAGGATATGCGAGTTTTATTTATGATTTTCTGAATGCAGAATGAAACATTTATAGGTTCCATTTGTATTGTTTCATAAGGTGGCAACCCTTGGTGAAACAATTCCTTTTTACCAAAGGTTATAATGTTTGGCCTAGAGAAACATAGTCCAAAGTTGCATGGTTTCATTCAGCAACACTTCATGAAGTGTTGCCACTTTCAAATTCAAAAATCAAAATACAAGTAATGACCATAATAAGAGCAACAATCGTCGACCGTCGACTGTCAGAGCCGCTTCATTAGTGTCGTGCCGTCTACAATCCGCCACTACGCTCACGCCCTCAGACCCGGTCCCGAAGTCGGAGCCGGTGTCGTTGGTGGCGACACCGATGAGGGGTTGTATGGATGAGACAAGTGGCATAATGTTTGGGACCACAACACTTGTCCATGTGGCACTTTATCCTCTTTTGTCATTTTATTGTGTTAATGATATTAACTCTTTATAAAGGCTTTCAATGTGAGCAAATCTTTCTATGTGGGACTATTTCCCATTCATTAATTGGCATTTACTCCCTTCCACTTTCATGTCATTTTGGAACATACCATTTATAATAAATTATCATTAAGTACAACAATCTCCCACTTGTTCTAATAATGATATGACCAATTCTAGAAAAGACAGAAAAAAATGTTAATACAGTTAGGTATCTTTCGATTTGAACTTAACATTAGTAAGAATAATGCAAAGTTTAATCGAAATGTTAGGTAGTTATGCTTTGAATCGTTATCCCTTGTGATTATGTCGATGTTACCTTACACACATTTTTTAAGGGTTCTTCGCCTATATATCTCATCTAGCACTATTTATGGTCATGTGCTTTTCCTATTTTCATGAATTTTTCATGAGAGAAACTCCAACTCCCACTTTAAGATGACACCATCTCGAAATTCATATAGGAGAAGTTCAATTTGTATCTATTTCTGGAGATACATATCCCTGATATAGATCTTCATTAAGAGTTTGAAAACTAAACCCTCAATTATGTAATAGTTAACATTCTCTCACAATGTTGTATAAATATTCAAATCAATGACTTATTGTTAACCATTGAATTTTAGGTTAAGATTTATTAACTTTTGATTGGGTTGCTAATTTTCGGAACCCTTATTCAAGGAGTTTCAACCTCATACCTATTGAGGTAGTCTTTACTAAGTCTCTGGCTAGTGGCTTAGTAAACGAATCTGCTAAATTATAGCTTGTTTGAATATATGTCAGTGAAATGATCCCATCCATAATCAATTTCCTCACTAGAGAGTGTCTAAGGCCTATGTGCCTAGACTTTCCATTGTATACTTCATCGAATGCTCTTGCTAGGGTGGATTGACTATCATAATGTATCAACACTTTTGAAACATTGTCATTAGTTAATGGAACTTCCAACAGAAGGTCCGCCAACCATTCTGCTTCTTGTCCAGTGGATGTGAGAGGCACAAACTCTAATTCCATGATTGAGAGGGTAATACAAGTTTGTTTCTTGATTTTCCAAGATATCTCACCTCCGACTAATGTAAATATCCACCCAGTTGTAGATTTGTAATCTCCAACGCTCGATATCCAACTTGTATCGGTATATCCTTATAGTATGGCAGGGAACCTACCATAATGAAGGCCAAGATTTTTTGTCTTTTGGAGATAACCAAAAATCCTAATTATGGCCTTTCAATGTTCATCATTTAGATTACTAGTAAATATACTCATTTTACTAACTTCAAATTCTATGTAGGTTCTAGTGCATTGCATTAGATACATTAGACATCCAATTGCACTTGCATATTCTAATTGGGCCACAATTCTTCCATTGTTCTTTTGAAGTTTAACACTAGGATCAAACGAAGTGCTTACTTCCTTCAAATTTAGGTGCTTGAACTTATCCATTATTTTCTCAATACAATATGTTTGATTAAATTCATAACCCCCACTATTTCATTTTACTTTGATCCCTAATATAGTTTAAACTAGCCCAAGATCTTTCATCTTGAATGTAGAAGTTAGAAATCTCTTTGTTTCTATGATCCTATTCATTTCATTGCTAATGATTAATATATCATCAACATATAGACACATAAATATTACAATGTTTTCATGCACCTTTGTGTACAAGCATTTGTCACAAGAATTTGGAATAAACCCGTTTGAAAGTATGACTGAGTCAAACTTTTGATGCCATTACTTTGGTGCATGTTTTAAACCGTATAAGGATTTAACAAGTTTGCATACTTTTTGTTCATTTCCAGAAAGCACGTACCCTTCTGGTTGCTCCATGTAGATTTCCTCATCAAGATCTCCATTTAGGAATTATGTTTTGATATCCATTTGATGAACAATAAGATTATTCGAGGAAGCTAGTGCAAACAATATCCTAATTGTCGTATTTCTTGCTACTGGTGCATATGTGTCAAAGTAATCGACACCTTCCTTTTTTCTAAATCCTTTTGCTACTAATATAGCCTTGTAGGTGTTCAATGTACGATTATTGTGATACTTCTTTCTAAACACCCACTTGCATCTAATGGGTCTTGATCCCTTAGGAAGATTGACAAGTTCCCAAGCGTGATTTAACATAATTGAATCCATTTCGTCTCGTATAACATCCTTCCAAAAAGAAGCGTCCCTTGGAATAATCCTCCACTTGAAGAATAATAGAAATATTATGAACATCATTCTTGCAATGTCCTTCAACTAGATAAAAAGAAATAAGTTGAGAATCAGTTTCATTCGGTCCTAGATCCTTAACTTTTCGAGCTCTTTTGCTTATCCTAGGTTCGGGTTGTGTTTCAACAATTTGCGGAGAATATTTCTCATGAGACTCTTTATTCTTGGGATTCTCAGGTTCCTTATCCTTTGTGATAATATTTTCAAATAATTCCACATCTCAGGATTCAACAATTACATTAGACTTTAAATTTAAAAGTCTATATGCTTTATTGTTGGGTGCATATCCTATGAAAGCACATCTGATCCCTCGAGGACCTAATTTAGTTCTTTTGGGATCCATATTCTTGTAATATGCTACACACCCCACACTCTAAAATAACTAATATTTGGTTATCTTCCTTTCCATATCTCATATGGAGAAATACCAATTGCTTTCAAAGGAATCTGGTTCATTATGTGACATGCGGATAATAATGCTTCACCCCACAAATTAAATGGCCATTCAGAATGCATTAACATAGCATTTATTATTTCTTGATATGTTCTATTCTTTCTTTCAACCAAACCATTTTGTTGTGGTGTATGAGGCACGAAACATTCATGTATAATGTCATATTCTTCACAATATGCATCAAATTCTATAGAAAAGTACTCACCACATCTATCACTTCTAAGTACTTTTATTCTTTTATTTAATAAATTTTATACTTCTACTTTATAAACCTTAAAAGCATTAAAAGCATCATATGCATTCTTTAAAAGGTATACTTTTGTGAACCTAGAACAATCATCGATAAATGTTATGAAATAACGGTTTTTCCCACGGGTTAGCATGCCATTAAATTCACACAAATCAGAATGCACAAGATCAAGTACGTTTGATTTTATTTCAATACTTTTGAAAGGTTTCTTTATCATTTTTTATTTAACACATATTTCACATTTTTCGAAATCATGAATGTTGCATGAGATCAATCTGGATTGAATTAGTCTATTCATAGTACTAATACAAATATGTGTTAATCTAGAGTGCCATAAAGAAATTGACTCAACCATATAAGTAGAATTAGAAATTTCATTAATCATATTATCAATAGTACAAAGTTTAATTATTCCTTCAGCGAAATATCCTTTTCCTACAAATACACCATTACGGGTCAATATAAGTTTTCCTGATTCATATACAAATTTAATACCCAGTTTTCTCAACAAGTCTCCACTAACAAGGTTCCTATTCATCTCAGGAATATGAAGCACATTAACAAGAGTGACTTTCTTTCCATAAGTGATGTTGAATTCGACGGAACATGTTCCAATGACTTTAGATCGTACTTTATTT